GCGGTTCCGATCCAGATCCGTTCATAGTTGTCAATGCAGGACTGTAACAAGTGTGTGAATAAAGTGAGTACACGAAGGAGGTAGAACGCACTCGATCATCATGGGCTGCTGGTTCGGTGCGGGGGGCGATTGATGCTGAGAAGCGGACTGTTGAGAGGAGGTCGTAGAAGTTGCACCATTGAGTGTGGAGTAATTCGACAACGGTAGATGGGTTTGCGGGTTAGTCCAAGACATTGAACCATAAGGTACGGCATTATAGGGACCGGGAACTGAAGACAAGTAGAATGGATTGAATGGACCACCATAGTACGCAGGTGGTTGAGAGATGGATGAAGACGTTGAAGGTCCTATTACAAGAGAGATAACCATTATTTTAACATTTTTTATACGAGGGCGCTCAACAGCGTGTTTGTAGCACGGGCGCTTATGAATGAGATGCTTACCCGCAAGGTCGCCTATTGTATAGTCGCTCAAATCGAGACTTGGCTGCTGCGCAGCTGTTCCAGGAGGACCTCCTGCTCCATTTGTGGGGGACGACTGTTCTTTCCAGTCGTCGGTGGATGGAGTGCCTCCAGTTAAATTCTGCGTCCAGTTTTGCGCATTCGAATACAAATCCATAAGGACTGTTTTCTTCTTTTTCTGCTGCTTCGTTCTCAAGCGTTATTGGGGCAACACTAAACGGCTTATTTCTGTGCAACGAGACGCAGGAAAAGCAGGAAAGAAATGTAGACGGTATACAAGCCTTCTATCACCTTTTTTTGCAGTGTGTTCTACGGCTCAAACTGCCTGAGAGACCTGGCTTAGTTGAGGGTGCGAGTTGTTAGCTTTCGTCGCCACTGCGAACAACCCACATGATCTTGTTTTTTTCGAACTCCGATTTAATAATCGAAATCGGCGACTCGGCAGAAGTAACTAAGGATCGTCGTCAATGTTGTCATCAACGTTTTATGTAGTGAAACATTGTTCCAAGCACAAGGAGAACCAAGACAATATCAATCCCGTAGTACTAGTCTAATGATAAGGAAGTGATGTCTTTCTTATCATTAGACGCCATCTACACAAGGTTTGTGACTTTCATTACATGATTTCCTATTAGTTACAATTGTTTCAATAGCTAGGGAACCTAATAGTTGTCAACAAAACAAAAGTTTATAATTGCTTACAAGAGTCAACAAACTTCGTTGATTTTTCTGAATCCTCTCTTGTCTTTTTCTCACTACCCTCCTTTTCTAATAAATCATGCCACCTAAAGAGCCAAAAGAAGAACTTGACCTTGATCAGAAGAAGGCTCAGGTTTGTATTCTCTAATACGTATTCTATTCATCGCGTCTGCTCACTCTCGACGCGTTCTCCTATTTAGCTCGCGATCAAGTTCAACAATGCCGCGCGTCAGTTCAGTGCTCTTGCCGAAGTGCTTTCCAAGGCTGTCACCGAAGTACCTATCGATGAATCCACTGTTAACAACCTCACCGAACTTCTGAACGCGGCAATCACAAAACCGTCGCGTAAGCGTAAGCTCGTCGCGCTTGAGATCGGCGAGGATGGTGTCCCCAGAAAGAAGAAGCGCGAAAAGAAAATCAAGGATCCCAATGCACCAAAGGGTCCCGCCTCCGCTTACATCCTGTTCCAAAATGATATTCGTTCTGCGTACAAGAAGGAACATCCAGACATGTCTAACAAGGAGTTGCTAAGACTCATCGGTGACCAGTGGAAGACGTTGGCCGACGACAAAAAGGATGTACGTATATGTCAATCCTATGTACATCATCCCCCGCTCATCCGTATCATCAGTTCTACCGTGATCAGCACGGCAGGGCCAAGAAGAAACACGAAGTTGACCTTGCCGCCTATAACGCCCAACACCCCGACCAAGTTCCTACAGAGGCCAAGGACAGCGGGAAGAAGAAGAAGAAAGATGATGAGGAGTCAGACCATCCTGCAACGAAAGAGGTTGCGAAGGCTGCTCCCAAGACTGCCAAGAAAGCTGCTGCTCCCGTACGCTCTTTTATACCAGTTGTGACCTTTGCTGACGTTGCTGATTAGAAGGTTGGCAAGGTGGTTCCTAAATCTAAAGAGGTTGTTGAAAGTTCGGGATCTGAGGCAGAGGATGCGTCAGAAGTTGAAGCCTCAGATGTGGAGTCGTCAGACGATGAACCGGCCCCGAAAGTCAAAGCCAAGGCAACTACAGATGAAGACTCCGAGTCCGATTCGGAAGTTGATACTTCTTCCGAGGAAGAGGTTCCTCCTCCTCCGCCCCCCGCGAAGAGGTCCAAAAAATGATGACAAGATTTATTGAGAGTTCTCTGTGAATCGGTTCTACGTTGATTATCTTCGATCTTCTTCTTCGTATGATACATATACTTTACTATTTTATCATCAGCAAGCATATGGCTTATTGATTCTTTTGAATACTATACATACTATTCTTCAATGACTCTTCAGGCTTCAGGCCATTGGCCGGATGGCATCATGTACGGCTTACGTATACTGTTATAAACACGGCAATGTCACCCATTACGTGTGACTATGAGACATTGCCAGCGGCTCGCCACTATATAAGTAATCCGCAATCCTGTTAACGCCATCATCTTCGTTTCAACTTTCCTTACCATGTCTTCTCCTCCCCCGAATCCTGATTCAAGGCCTCTTCCGAGAGGCTGGATCGCACAATATAACTGGGAGTATGTCCTTCACAATCTGATAATCCTTCGAAGAGCTCCTGATCATCGTAATCTATAGGTATAAATCATGGTGTGTATCGCGTTCCCGCCAGGCCTCTTGACACCTCCTTATCAATATATGATTATCCGCAATGCAGGTTTTATGTAAATGAGATGGAACAACCTCCTCGATCATCTTGGGAGCATCCCCTAGGCCCTCCCCAATATACTCCTCCCCTCGGACCTCCCCCTCCCAATCGTGACTTCAACCGCTCTCCTTATCAAGACGGTTACAACCAGGCTCCCGCTCCAGGTGGCTATGCGCCCTCTTACGGTGGCTACGGGGGTGGGTATGGTGGCAATGCACCTGCCGGTGGGTATGGCGGTTATCAGGGCTACCCACCTGCAGAAGATAGAGGTCGCGGTAAGAGCCCATGGATCATCCGCGATAAATCATGAATATCAAACCATTTTGCTAGGTTTCTTTGGCAGAACGTCTTCTCAGCCCCAACAGCCTGCTTATGCGCAGCAGGCTCCTCCGAGGAAGAGCGGTCCGGGGATGGGCACTGCTTTGTTGGCTGGTAAGTTTTGGTCTGCTGTGCGATACTGATCATCTGAATGCCCGGGTCAGGCGGTGCAGGTTTAGTAGGCGGTGCTCTCCTCATGGACGCCTTTGAGGACCATGAAGATAGGGTAGAGGAGCAAGCCTATGACCAAGGTAAGTCTCTCGCAACTGGTATGTCCGGGACATATCTAAACATCCAGCAGGGTACGACAATGGTTACGATAATAATTGTGACAATGGCGGCGGTGATTTCGGAGGAGGCTGGTAAACGACATGCTTGGTTGGGTAATGCAAATGCATGATTACAGGTTCTTGGCGCCTAATGTGGTAGATTTGTGTTTGTGTATAGTAGTTTGAGGCTTGGATTTATGCAATGGAAGTCCCTTGTGGCGCCATATCAGTGCCATCGTACAGGTTATACGGCGTCTGTGACTTATTAATTTGGCGGACCTCGGGAGTTTTGCCAACGGTCTGGCAAAATTAGCACTGGTTATACTTGGTCTACGGCAGAACTCACGGGAAGGCTCAAGGATGGCAGAAACTAGGGCCGGCAGAACCCCAGCTGCAGTGTTAAAAAAACTTTCGGATGGCCTGCGGGCTTATAATCAGTCACTATTCGCTGGTGGCCAAGTGGACGGCCTTTCTTGGTGGAAACTCTTTTATTTAATTCCGAAATTCACCGGTGACCCACTCAAGGTCTTTGCTGTGACGGTCCTCTCAATTATAGGGCATGTAGGGTGCAATTCTCTGATCTGGACATAACACAATCCGCGTGATGGATATCTCAGTTGACGCACTCGGGAAAATTTGTGCAAACCTTAACACCACAACACCGTAAAAGCCACAAGGTTTGGGAAGTCCACCCGCCGTCGACATGCTCACATGCGCACGATGTCGGCATTGCTGTCGAGCATCCTTCATGTGGTACCTCCGCTCTCAACCGAGCCTCGTTATGGCGGCCCATGTAGAGATGACCCTCATCAACAAAAGAGCCCGAAGCATATAAGGCCTTGTGAAGCTTACATGAGTACACAAGTCTGTTAACCAGCTTACAAGGTGCATATAAGGTGCATATAAGGCATTAAATTTTGATACAAGCCCTGATATTCAACATATATGCTTCGGGCAGCATATATTGACATACATGTTTCAGGCTCTTTTGTTGATGCTCTTGCTGGCCCAGAGTATCTCGTCTAATGACGTTGCTGCTGAATTTACGGCTCTCGAAGAGTTGAAGAGGACTATTAGAGCATAATTAATAACAACAAAGTTGAAGATGCTGGAGAAAACTTTATGTTTTTGATTTGACGAGTTTATTTATATGTGTCACTTGTTACTGTAATATTCACAGCTACAAGTTGGACCGACGGAACGAATAAATGTAGAGTTGCTACAAAGTCACTGAATTTTACAGATATCGTCACTTCAAGTTGCGCCGAGCGCTATAATACATCAACAGCTCTGCTTGAATACTGTCACATAGTTTGCAGCAAGCTGGTGCAGGGTGCCTTGATTGTGCCGTAATTGTGGCTTCGCCGTGTGCGTGAGGTGGTAGGTTGACTACCGTCAATTTACTGTCATCCATTGGGATCTATGCTAGAGGTCATCGTCGCCTTGAGGAAGAAACTGCAGGAGGGTCTCGGCGAGAATGTCGGAGGTGGTCAACTTATGCGGTGCTTGGCTTCGTACTAGTAGCTTCTTGGCGCATGTTAACGTTGATCCATCAGGTCGGCCGCATCAGTCACAGCCTTGATAGGCCCTGCCAGCCTTATTTGACAGGCAAGCCTAGACAAGCACCTGTTATATTCGGGGGTGCCTTGATGTACCTTGCACCGTGTCCAAATGATATAGTACAATTAGTTTTTTCGTCTGCCTGATTTTGCAGCTTCAATCGCCCCCCACTCAGGCTAATGAGCTTTTATACTGGTGTCGTACCTGCAGACGGCCCCTCTGCAGAGACTGGCATAGATTGGTGAGTGATATGAAAGCGGGGTATTCTAAATCTAAGCACCACAATTCATGATCCAGGTCACTCCAACAGACTCGGACAAATCTCCAGTCTCCCACTAGTGTCAGGGCTACGTCTAACTCCGGCAGTTATGCAACTCCACTGACTCCTGCGCAAACATATGCGCGCACTTTCGTCTCTGAACAACCTGTTTTGCAATACACCATCGAGCGCCAGCAGCTAGAGAAACCATCCGATCAACAACCGGGGCCAAATTTGCAGTCTCTAATCGGTGTTTCCGCGCCTACACGCGGTCAATCATACGCTCAGCGCCTGTATGCCAGCTCGTTAAGCAAGCAGCCCCAAGCTCAGACCCACCAGCAGCCCACCAACAGGCAGCCTTCCTTTGAACGTGGAGAATCTTCAAAAAACCGAGTTCCGGCTGGCCCACGGGCTCCTTATGGTGGCAGAGCATCTCTCATGTTGAATGCGGATCATACAAACGTTCCTCAAACTGTCTCTGCCCTTGATTTCTACCATAACAGCATCGCAAAACTTGATTTCCAGTTACCGCAGCCGGTACCTGAACGAGGCACCAAGTCCTCAGGAGCTTCGCACCCTCAGTCAGCAACAGGTTCCGCTTCACGCATCCTCGTGGCCCATTCCTCAGTTCCTATTCAGGTGCCTCACGGCCTGCAAGCACCCAGTAGACGTAGCCCAGTTCCAGTGGAACTCTCCGATGGGCCTCCACCATTGCCTGCTGGTGACCCCTGGCGGTCAAGTCAGGCGGGGTTGCACAGTAGGAACCCACCTACAACGCATGTGATACCAGGCAGTTCGACGTCATCAGACATCCCTCTACGGCCTGAGAGCGTGAACAATGCCATAGCTTCACCTGTTCCACCAGAGACACTCCCAAGGGAGTCTAGTCCATACTCGGAGGATTGTTTAAGAGGTGTGGTTGCGATCACTTCTAACCCCGAGTCCGTGACTCGACCTAGTGATCCCTCGCCTGCACCTATACAGATTGAGAGTCTTGATGTTGGCAGTTCCGAAGAAGTACCGTTATATTCCCTCGTTGACGACGATCCTCCTCCGCCAGACTTCGATGAGTCGCAATCCATGTGCAGCGTGACCATGGCGAGCACATATCACGCTGAATCGCCTGTAGTACTATTACTCCCTGCTGTGCCCTCGCCCACACCGCACGAGTCCGATTCTGTATCTGGAGCTGTACCTTCAACAGGTGCAGATGCTCTCTCATTCGTTGAGACCCCTCGCGCACTTTCTCTAGAACCTCTCTCGGGATCTCCGCGAACCTCACTGGCCATGCCAGAAGTAGCGTCATACCCTACGGGGAAAGCACCTGAAGATGTTAAGGGGAAGTCGTATGATGACTCTGCAAAGGACTCTATACCCAAGTTCTCTGAGAGGTCATCATCCATGGAAGCTCCATCGTCATCTCGAACCCTATCCGAGCAGGTGCCTTCATACAGGCAATCTAGGTATAACACCGCTCCTCAAGACATACCGCATCCTCCTAGTTCCCCGCCGGGCCCCCCACACAATAACACGTCTGCGAAGACTTTTTCTGCAGCACCACTACCCGCTCTTCCACTGAGGAGTCCTGTGGTTTCTACATCAGCGACCAACACGGCTTCCGCACCTCCATCTATGATGCCTGCATCTCCTCCATTAAGCCCAAAGGTGTCCGCTGTGAAACCGGCTGAAGTTCGATCAGCTACTTCCGTCCCTCTTCAACCCAGTAGCAGCTACCGACCATCTAACTCATCGCTTCCTCCAAGAGTCAGGGCAGAGCCCACATTCCCTCCTTCATCAGCGGATACCCCACCTTTCATGGCTGCTTCTGCAGGAATCACCTCACAGATGTATTATGCAGGTTTTCCTTCACCTCTTTCTTCACCTCCCCTCTCCCAGCGTTCTCGGGGCCCATCAGTACTATCCGCATCATCAACTGACAATCGTCCTACAGAGTTCAGACCCCAGCTATCTCCGGGTGTATCCCCTACGCTGCAAGGACAGGCTCCTTACCAGTCGCCGCGTGAAACCTTCCAGCCTCCCACAGAGTCCAGACCCCAGCTATCTCCGGCCGTATCCCCTACACTGCATGAATACGCACAGGCTCCTTACCAGTCGCTGCAAAGCTTCCAACCACAGGCCTTGCCGCCGCCCCCATCTCAAGATGCAAGAGCAATAGCTACACCTACTCAACCAGTTCAATCTAGCAGGGGACTTGGAATAAATATCGCGACAGGTCTCGCGGCGGGAGGTGTTCTTGGTCTGCTCGGCGGGGCTGTGCTCGCTGAGACACTCGATGGCGGCGATATTGTTGACGATATCACTGGAAGTATGGATGGGATGACGTTTGGAAATCCTGCAGATAGTGTGTTCGACCCCAATATGGGTACTGGTAATATTCTAGGGAACGGATTCGACCCTACGGCGATCTTTCAAGGAAATCAAACGTACGACGGGGACTCCTTGGGCCAAACATACAACGTGTCTGATCAGACCACGGGGAACGGAGTAGACTTCACCCAATTTCAAGGACAGTTGCAGCAGCAGCCAAATAACCAGAGTAATCAAAGCAGCAGCACGCACTATCTGCATGATGCAGGAAAGCTCCTGCAAGCCGCTTACAAGATGTATAACAATTCGCATAAGACTGATGCAACCCAGGGATCTCAAAGTTCACAGACAACAGTTCCACTGCAACAAACCTTGGCATCCACGATGTCCGGCATCTCAAATATTGGTCCTAATTCGCCGCCGATAGAATACACACACACAAGTATGTCTATTCCTTTCCATGGAACGTCTCCTGACCACTTTACCGCATCAGGCTACCCCAGCCCGACCCAGCAAACCGGACAACCCATGCATCCCATGGCATCTCAAACAGCACAACTACCCACTGCCACACCATTCTCACAACATCTTCCTTCTTTCAATCCTGCTTCTCAGCAGGGCACACATTATCATCACGCGTCCTCACATCATCACACACCCTCACATTCTCACCATCACACGTCCTCACAAAGCTTTCATACATCTCACACCCAGAGCCCGTATACGAATCATGTTACTTACCCCTCCTCCGGGACCGCCACTCATACCATGTACTCGCAGGGTCAGCCAATACCAGCCCAGCATGTTGTGAACCACGGTCACGGCACCGCCCCTCACCACGCTTATTCACCCCAATCCCAGGCGGGACCCTCCGTTCATCCCGTACAACATCATGCTCCAGGAAACTCGCCACAACAGCCTCCGAATGATAATATAGACAAAACTATGCTTGCAAAAAAATTCGTCAAGGGCGCGTTGATGGCTGGTGGTCTTTTCGCAAAATATAACCGTCTGAGTGGAGGCAATGGATTTGTAGGGAATTCATGGAATGGCCAGAATAATGGAGGATTTTTGTAGCTGCTAGCCCCATGCTATTCATCATGCGAATTCTGTACTCGATTATATGATACCATATATACCATCACGTAGTAGCACTAGTCTAAATATTTATCTTGTAGTGCTTTCCAATCCTGTAGGCTGATCAGCTTTTCGCCCGCTATCCTCTCGCTTTCTTGTCTTGCTCCTAGCTATGCACCGAATACGATAGGCACAATAGGACTTTAACTTTATCATATATTCAATTCTGACGCTGGTCATCTGTCAACGATGACCAGCCTGAGGTCGACCTCAATTCTGTTTATGTAAACTCAGATTCGTACTCATCTCATTTCGGTCTGCATGGACGTGCAACCACCGTCCTCCCAATGAAGAGCAAGGCACTATCGAAATTGCTACAGGCACGCGAACGTCCCGATGAACCATCCGACACCGACCCTCCTCCTAGCACCTCACACAATTGTTATAACGACAACGATAGACCATCCAATGCCGACCCTCCTCATAACACATCGGAGTTGCCAAGCTCTAGTGGCCAGAAAGTGTGTGTCTGACCCTGAAACACTTGCGAAAGTGTATCAGATCACTAAAGGTGACTTGCAGATGATGGGTCATGTCCCAGACATGGTTTGGTTCCATAGGTTTAATGAGACATCCACGACCAACAACAGGACGGCATTAGGAATGAAGGACGCTGAACGGGGCAATTGGGCCTTCTCCATCATCGTATGCAGGAAGCTTGAACCTGTCACGAACTTAAGTGGGTCTGAGTTCCGCGAAGCATGGTGGCAAATATCATCGGTAGGTGTTCTTTCTTTGTGTTCTGGTTACCGTCCATCAACTGCGATTCTAGTTCATCGTATCCTCTGGGAAGATGGTATCTATCGCTGTGACATCAGCCTCAGCAATCTCGTGTTTTACCGAACCTCGCGCGCTCGTGTGATAGGCGTCCTCAATGACTATGATTTATCATCGATTCAAGATGATTGTCCCAGAGGCAACAAGCACACGGGAACGGTACCGTTCCTGTCGATTAGCCTTTTCACCCTCCTATCAGCCGTCGAAGGTAGCGTCGAGCACGTGTACCGGCACGATGTTGAATCGTTGGCCTGGGTTTCTGTCTGGTCTGTTTTCGCTATGAGGATGGCAAGCCTCGCAAGAAGAACAAACCTCTCGGCGAGTGGCTTGATCAGAGTAGACGCACTTACATGCTGCCAGCTTAAATGCCACTTTTTGATGGTGGCGCGTTATGAGCGCAAGCCCCGGCCTTTGTCATCACACAGATCCAACTGGATACTCGCGATCGAACACTATACTTAATCATATTGCCTTGTTTTATGCTGAGCCTAGTTCCATACCCACAGATGAGGTCACCTTTGAAATGTGGCTGCAGAATCATCGACGCAACAGCAACATACCACAGACTTGTAACATCTAGCATTTATATACATTTTCATTTAAGTTTTCTTCTGCACTCTCTTCCGAGTCACTGTCATGATCACTATGTCTGTCGTTTTCTCTACTCCCGTCGGACTCTTCCTCGGACGCATCACCAAGATGTGATGCATCATTGCGCCGTAATATCTCAAAGTCTATGGCTACAATGACATCAAGCTGCTCTATGACTAGTACTAGGTATACTATCCTCAGTAAGTAGGTGATATATCATGGCATCTTCCCACACACTATATCTCCCTTCTACCATGACAACAATATAATTACATTACCGCCTGCTCTTCCATCAGTACTACACACAGCCACATGCGCGTTGCATTATAACTTGTAAAATGCGGCAATTTACAATGTTAACCGTTTTCAATAAACCACCGTTGAATTTCACCGAAATTCTCCCGGGCCAGTTGTCTGATTCAGAATCTTGGACCTGCCACTCTCGCAATCGAGGTTTATAAGACTAACGTCCGTCACGCGCCAGGCCTTGCCACATCTTCATCACCCTGGTCAAGGATGTTTATCACTGCACGATCTGCGGGAGTGAAACTGCTCACTAAAGCTAATATATTGGCTGTGTCGCAGGTTTTGCTTGCGCTTGAAGTGTTGTCTTCTCCGACGGCCACTATATCTGCATCCATCGTCAACCTGGGTTATGCCCAGTACCAGGGATCAGTTGACACGGCGACAAACATCACCAGCTTCCTTGGAATACGCTACGCGGCTCCTCCAGTTGGTGCGTTTAGTTATGTTTCTCAAACACAATCTCAGCTCACGCACCAAGCGCATAGGCGACTTAAGATGGGTGGCCCCGCAGCCTCCACCGACTGTCTCTGGGATTCAACAAGCTACCACGCAACCAAACGCATGTAATCAAGCAGCCGAAGGCGATTCTTTGACAAATCCGTTTGAAAGCATCTCTATGAAGAAAAGGGATATTGGCCTATCTGAAGACTGTTTATTCTTGAAGTAAGCCCTGTTATTGAATGACAATGTTAGCATTTACGATCAGTGGTTACGTCTGGTAGTGTATACACTCCTGGAAGTGAAGTGGTGCCAACTCCGGGAGGAGGGCTCCCAGTTATCGTTTGGATTCACGGAGGAGGGTATCTCATAGGAGCTGCAAGCCCATTCAATGGCGCAGATTTAATTGTAGACTCAAATTATGGTGTTATCACAGTCTTAATTCAGTACCGCCTCGGTTTATTTGGTGTGTTTTTACTGTCTTCTCTCGGTTTCAAATACATACTAAGGTGTATACACCGCCAATCAGGGTTTCTTCCCGGGGAAGCGGTCAAGGAAAGGGGTGCACTCAATGCTGGACTACGTACGCAATTATCATGGTCTGGCCTGCAGTCTTTCAGATCCAGCTGAACTTGATATTTCAAGTCGACCAGAATTATGCCTTACAGTGGGTGCAGGCCTACGTGAGCAGAACTCTTTACTTGCGTGGTGTACCCTAGCTGACAGGACGCTTACCCGGGTAGATAAGCGCCTTTGGCGGCGACCCCACGAAGGTCACAATTTGGGGAGAGTCCGCTGGTGAGCTATGCTAGGTGCTCTTTGTCATCATTGTCTTCATTTACTACTTTGTTTCAGGTGCCGGATCGGTGCTACAGCATATCGTTGCCCATGGAGGAAACACGCAGCCCCCCCTCTTTAGAATCGCCATAACGAGTTCCACGTTCTTGCCATCCCAATATAACTATAATGACCGGATTCCGGAGGTAAGTTTTGTTCATGAGGACGATGTCCGCAGTCCTGAATACAACTACTAGCTGTTGTATAGTGAGGTCGTCAATGGAACAAAGTAAATTCTTTGAAACACCACCAGTCTCTATCTAATTCTTTAACTTGCAGCTGTACCTCGAGCTCGGATACCCTCTCTTGTTTGCGCGCTGCAGATGTCAATACGCTGCAGACCTTGAACTATAACATCAACCTCAATGGGTTCTTTGGTACGTATGTATTCGTCCCTGTTGTGGATGGCACTTTCATCTTGGAGAGGCCTACTGTGACGATAAGGAAAGGTCGTTTGAATGGCGTACGGTCTATAAATATATTTATCTCGAAGACAAACTGAGGCCCTTTCTCCTAGAACTATCTGCTTGCTATGACCAATCCGCATGAGGGGAATGGTTTTGTCAACCAATCGACGACATTGGATATTGCAGATTATGTCAAGACGCTTTTCCCGAATATCGGTTTTGCTCAGGCTGCTGGAGTGGTGACGATGTACCAGAACTACGGAAGTAACGTCAACCAGGCAGATCTTGTGATGGGTGAATGTATGTATATTTTTGAAGGAATGATCACCGTCCCTGATTACATGGGTCGTCTCAGCAATATTCGTTTGCCCCACCTATTATCTCCTCTTAGCATTTGGAGAACGCGCTTGGAAAGTGAGCTTGAGGCAACTCGCAACTCATCTATACTCAACATACGCAGGGCGAGTTTGCAATCCCGCCTGGCCTGCATGGAAATGACGTTGCATACTACTTCACCTCATTTTCGTAAGTTGAAGCAACGAGTCAACCATTACTCTGAGTGTAAACTGTTCCAGGGGTGGTCCTGCATACAACAATTCGCAGTTCATCACTGCTTTCTCGAATTCATTCATGGCTATGGTCATGTCTGAGACTCCTGATGACAGATACACCCCAGGAGATATCACACCCTCCTGGAGACCTTGGCGACCTGATTTGACAGAGATGATGTTCAACAAGACATCTGCGGGAGCACCTGACATTTACACTTTCAAGACCAATAGTGCCTTACTGGAGCGTTGCGCGTAAGTACCATATTTGTGATGAGCCAAGGTGCCCAGCTGAAGGCATCTACTAGCTACTGGCAAGACGTGTCGGCATATTCAGCGCAGTGAATGGAAGTTGAGGTAACTGCATGAGTTGAATATTCCTACGTATATCTCTGTCCAGCAGCTCATCGCAAACGCTTTCTGGTCGTAGGATCACTGCGACGAGACTTTTGCATTAATTAGAAGGTCCATTGGATCATATCAGTTTGCAACAACTGCTACCATTCTCAGTATGCATATTGACCTGTCCAGTGCCGGTGATGTCAGATCTTTCAGCCTGAGTACATTCAATGTTAGGCCTTCCCAAGACGACCCTGCTACAACGGAGTTGCACAATTCTCTTGTTTTGATTGGACATGTATTTTTTCGAGATACTCAATTGGCTGCGTGGCACAGTCACCCGCGGACAACTCAAGTCGCCGGCTAAATTGATCTCTCGCTGCGGTGTTTTCAAGTCAAGTGTTGCCTCGATACATGATTTCAAGTCATCTCTGCCATATCAGACCATTTGTTCCACTCACCGTCTGTCCAGCGAAAATCACTGCCAACATCTCCTCATGGTATCTGGCTAAAAACCGTCATTGACGAATTCTAATTGTTGTTCTAAAATGCCCCGCTGCAGACACCGTCCACATCAGTTGTCAGTGGGGGAGAGACTAGCAAACACTGAGCACAATGCACATGCACACTGAATTCACTTCATGACGACATCTCACCCCTTCACAGGACCTCCTGCACACTAAGCTCAAGGCAACGAGGGAAGACGATAGTTGTAATGAGGTATACAGCGTCCATGGTATACCGTATACTCATTGCAAGGATCGATGAAGTATAGGTGAGCAGACGAGAACGTCTGGGAGTAGGTTGAGAAAGAGATGAGTGATACGGGTTCCATCTGATTTCAAGAACTCCAGGGCGGGGAGGAAGCGTACGGGTAAATGCATGATTCTGCCAACGAATATTTCAGGGGGAAAACTTCGAGTGCTATTGACCTCTCTGAGGCGTCAGTGGATAGGGGGTTCTGCTGGTCATACGATATTAGCGGTCCCCATCTCGAATTCTAGAACGATCGAAAAATCTGTACTCCTAGTAGTAGTTATCAGACATTCAATTAGCTTCAGACTGCTTGGCACCCCGGACCATCGTACGTGGCACCTACTATTGTATTCTCTGAGTTCGAAAACTTGTGACACCCGCTTCCTTGTTTCTGACACAAATCGTGGCCAACTCCGAACAGTGGCCGAAACCAGGTTACCCTTGTTTAGAAAGGTGCACATTTGAGAGGCAGGGAACGTAAGCGCACATCCATGAGTGTTTGCACTGGTGCTCGTTGTCGGGATGGCTTCGAAACGAATAAGTTAGTACTGAGAGTCGTCATCATCCTGGCAGGTGGACGCGCTTGTGGCTACAATGCACGTGTCCACGTGACACCATCGAAAGACAAATTAAATAATTGAGTTAGGGTTTCCCGCGAATCTCGCGTCTCGCGAGTCGCCGAAGTTTTTTCTCTGTCGCGACAGGATTGGCCTTTGTTTCCGCTCTCCCACCTTAACACTGCTATCATGGTCAGTACGAGAAGAAATGGCGCCCGCAATGTTCGGACGCCTGCAACCACGACCACAGGTACTCCAAGCACATCTATGTCTCCCCTGGTTAGCGGCAAGAATTCTGCGGTACCTGAAACCCCTGACACTTCCGACGTCGGTGAAGATCCAGTAGTCACGAAAGTCACGACAAGATCACTTGCAACAAGTCTTATGAAAACACGGAAGCGCTCTGCAGAAGATGAAGGCGAAGACTTCGAGGGTAGACCAGTCCCAACTAAACGGAAAGTCGTCCACAAAGCTTTTTGTGTTGAGATACCCGTTAAAAATTCGACCTTGAACTCAAAGGCGAGAACGCAGTCTTTAGTTCCGCCCAGCCGCATACTAAGTACTATCAATGCACAGCAACAAGCAACATCTGTCAAAAGCAAAGGGCGAGTCACCGCCCCTTCTACCTCCAATAATAAGGATGTCCAGCTTCTCTCAGAGGATGAGGACCTCGAAGACTTTGAATCCAGTGATTCGGAGTATTACGAGTCGGATGATGATGCCCCTCTCCCCTCAAAGAACTACGTCGTCTCGGGTTCTGAGGGCAACGAGTCAGAAGGTGATGAAGAGTTGATGGTTGCTGCTGCCATTGAGTTGTCCCGTGCAACAGCACGATTCGCTGTTCAAGAATCCTCGGGAGTCGGTTCTTCCTCCAAAGCCAACGTTACATCACCAAGCCTCAAGATTACCAAGAAGGCTGCTGCTGCTGAACGTCGCCTTACGAGGTCCGGTGGCAAGGGAAAGGGCAAAGGTCGTTCTGCTGGCAGTGAAGATGACAATTTCATACTTGAAGACAGCGAATCGGCATTATCAGTCTTGAGCTCAAGCGAAGAGGAACTCCCACTCTCCAAGGGTAAGGGGAAAGCCACGAAGAAGGGTAAAGCAAAGCTAAAGTTCATCGACACCGAACCCATGACTTGGGTGGAACGAGCTCAGCGGCGCCGCCTGCAAGCGGCCGAAAGGAGGGCCAACAAATTAGAGGAACGCGCATTAATGCAAGAGCTTGGCCGAAAGCTTACCTGGGTACGGTGACCTTTTCCTGCTCGAATATTTACCCTAATTATCAGCACAGGCCGAGAAATCTTCTTTGGCACTCAAAAAGCATCACCCTGAACTCAGGGATGTCTGGGGTGACGTCGAGTCCAGCATCCCCATCGTTGTACCGGAGAGAGCTGTGCAGCCTGCTGGTTTAAAGGTCACGTTGCTTCCATTCCAGCAGGAATCACTCTTCTGGATGCGTAAGCAAGAGCAGGGGATCTGGCATGGCGGCATGCTAGCCGACGAGATGGGGTAGGTTTCTCAAACTTTCAGTATGTACAAGATTGAATGTGTTCTTTGCAGCATGGGTAAGACTATTCAGATGATATCCCTCTTTGTGTCGGACCTGAAGCGTCCGAACCTTGTTGTTGCGTATGTTTTCACCATTCAGTTATGTCGCCATGTCCTAACCACATGCTACACAGGCCAACTGTTGCCATAATGCAATGGCGCAATGAGATTAACGCTCACACAGAGGGGATGAATGTCTTGGTATGGCATGGCGCGTCTCGCGTCAACAACCCCAAGGAATTGGAGAAATACGATGTTGTTAGTTCCAACTTCAGAACCTTCCATCCTCTCGTCTCAATATTAATGCAACTCAGGTACTCACTACTTACGCTGTCATGGAGAGTTGCTTCAGGAAGCAGCAGAGCGGTTTTAAGCGAAAGGGGCTCATTGTGAAGGAACCTTCGCCTCTTCACCAGATTCAATGGAACCGGATCATCGTACGATCAAGCTCGTTTCGATAACTTTACCATTGCTGATGGTTTTTTGACAGCTTGATGAAGCGCACAACATTAAGGAACGCCAAACCAATACTGCCAAGGCATCCTTTGAGCTTCAGAGCAATTACAAATGGTGTCTATCCGGAACGCCTTTGCAGAATCGTGTGGGAGAGCTCTACAGCCTAGTTCGTTTCCTCGGGGGTGATCCATTCTCCTTTTATTTCTGTGCGTCATGCGTCTCCTCATTCGTCATTCGAGTCATTGATCTGGTTTTCTGATAGGTAAGAAATGTGATTGCAAATCGCTTCATTGGAAGTTTACAGATAAAAAGCACTGTGACGGTAAGATTCTGTGCCCCAACTCCCGGTGCCCATTTGATATATTTTACAATAGATTGTGGTCACAGCCCAATGCAACATGTAAATCATCATCACTATCTGTAAACTCAGCTAATTAGTGTCATTCAGACCTGCTTCTGGAATAACGAGATCTTGACACCTATTCAGAAACACGGCATCGAGGGCCCGGGAAGGATTGCTTTCAAGAAGTTACGCATCCTCCTTGATAGAATGATGCTCCGTAGAACAAAGGTCGAATTTATCCTTTTATTCATGTGTTCGAAATTCAATCGCTACCGCAGATTCAACGAGCTGATGACTTGGACTTACCCCCTCGTATGGTGATCGTGCGACGAGACTACTTCAGTCCCGAAGAGAAAGAGCTTTATCTTTCGCTCTTCTCAGACGCGAAACGCCAGTTCAGTACCTACGTTGACTCTGGAACGGTTTTGAATAGTGAGGTCACCTTTTCTGAAAGTCAGATCCAACTGTTAACGCTATTCCATCAGACTATTCCAATATCTTCAGTTTGTAAGCCTTTCACGCTCTTGCTCATATGATTCTGAAGTTCCTGTAGGCTCACTCGCATGAGGCAAATGGCTTGCCACCCAGACCTTGTCCTCCGCAGTAAGACTAATGGGACCCAGTTCTTGGGCTCTGACGAGGCTGGTGAAGCCACGATCTGTAGACTCTGCAGTGATGTCGCGGAGGATGCTATCCAGGCCAAATGCCGCCACATCTTCGACCGGGAGTGCATGAAACAGTATCTGGGCACTGCCGGAGACATAACGGTCAGTTTTTTCCTATCAACATTTTCTTGGGTCCTGAATTTCTTTAAGCCCGACTGTCCTGTTTGCCACATCGCTCTTACCATCGACCTCGAGGCTCCGGCGCTCGAACTTGAAGCAAATATTCCTTCTGCGCGACAAGGAATCTTGGGGCGACTCAATATAGAGACTTGGCGGTCTTCCTCCAAGATCGAGGCACTTGTCGAGGAACTTTCCAATCTTCGCTTGCAAGACAACACGGTTAAAAGTATCGTGTTTAGTCAATTTGTCAACTTTTTAGATTTGATCGCCTTCAGGCTACAAAAGGCGGGCTTTTCGGTGCGCATGGATCTGGGAATTTTACTGAATGAAACGCTGATACCAAAATCTCTGATAGATTTGTCGACTTGAAGGAACCATGAGCCCTCAGGCACGTGATGCGACCATTCAGCACTTCAGTACGTCGGACGATCATCTATCAGTTGTGTTTTTTAACGTGCTTTCTTAGTGAACAATGTTGGCGTTACTGTATTTCTTGTCAGTTTGAAAGCTGGTGGAGTGGCATTGAACTTGACCGAAGCATCTCGAGTGTATCTGATGGACAGTTGGTGGAATCCTGCGGCAAGTTTTCTATGTCTATTTCTCACATCCTCAGCTGATCCCTGTTGTTCTAGGTTGAATACCGTACGCGAATCGACTGGATGTACTTGTGACACTTGCTGATTTCCACCACAGAAGCTATGGACCGTATTCACCGTCTCGGACAGTACCGTCCTGTACAGGCCATCAAGCTCGTCGTTGAAGATAGCATCGAGAGACGAATCATACAATTGCAGGAGAAGAAATCAGCGATGGTGGATGCCACGCTGTCTACCGATGAATCCGTGAGTATTTGTAGTTAATGGCTGACACAAATATGAGAGCTGACTACGACCTAGGCGATGGGACGACTGACGCCAGATGATGTAGGTGCTAAAATTCTGTCCCGTGACATACGACTAATTCAACTTTTGTAATCTAGCTTGGTTTCTTGTTCAGAGTACGTCCATGTTTTCTCAACGCACTCAAATCTGCTAACCTTTGGTATGCTAACAGCTGTAGCTTATTATTGTTTTTACAAACATACTGTAAAATATATGCCCTGCCTTTCTAGGCAGTAAAATACGCTGTCGTTCCTAATTCTACACAGAATATATCTGTTTCACGAGCGCCCGCTAATTATTTTAGCAATTCTTGTTACAGACCTTAATGTTGAAGATCCGGGACCCTTGGCCTATAGGAAACTTTCGACGCCATGACCTTTGTCTAATAGAATCAAAGTATAGATGGGACCATCTCTGCATATGAACCACGGCAGATTCCAGTGCATGCTCTCATAAGTACGACACAAGAATGTGCTAGACTTGATCAAAGCTGAGATGGTTCATTATGCAGGCGTCAATGTTGATTTGGTCAGCACGTGATCTGGACGTGTGGCGTGACGCGTCTGTCCGTCAACTTCCTCCTTATATTCTCCCCATCTCACCGCTCTCGCGAATGACGGTCCAGATCGCGAGTATCGGAGTCCAATCCTCTGTGAACTTGAGGCTGACCGGGAGCTGACACTAGCGGGCGCGTCCTTACCTGTCAGCACCATCAACTTGTTCAGCTTACGCCGGCTCATGCCCATGACACGTTATGACGTAGGCCAGCCAGTATTGATTACGGGAGGCTGACTCTCCCAAACGTATAAATGCCTGCCCGCCCGGGCTTCTTCTTCTTCATCAGCTTGACCTCCCTCGAGTGCCAACGATTCTTCATCGTCACATCTGACCCTTATTGCGTGTCACGGACGATCATCTCTCGTTGTCTTTGTCACTGATCTTACTCTCTCTCGCTGTCCTGCTGTCTCGCTGGCTCGCTTTCTCGTCTTGCTCTATCGCCGTCTCGCCGTCTCGTCTTGTTCTCTCGCCATATCGCTGTCGCCGTCTCGCTCTCTCGCCGTCTTGCTCTCGTCGTCGCCGTCGTCTCGTTATCTTGCTCTCGCCGTTTCGCTCACTAGTATCCAACGTCGCACGCCGTTGGTAAAGCAATGTCAAATCTTCAAAGTGCGTTACCGCCCTACGCCAACAGAACATTCTTCTTATCATCTCTCTTTCAAGAATATCGAAAAGCACAACGTCGGCCACGTTGATAAAAAAAACTTCCCTGTCTCTCGAACCTCGCCCTCGCTGGCGTTGTCTCTATCTCAATTAGGGACCTGCGCGCTCACCCGTCACATCCCTACAGCCTACCTCCTCTTCCTCCCGCCCGCCCATCTAGCTACGCTAATCCACCCATTTCACGTCGGACACTCCAAGCATAATGAATGACGTGCAATGGCTCTGTATTCAAGCTCGATAGTGTGGCACCAGTAAGTCTCATCTTCCTCAATTTCTCCGAACCTTAGTGCAACTCCCGTCATTCCTTTAGGCTGACCGCAGTTTCTCTTTTCACTGGATGACAGATGCGTCAGCATCTCCCGTTCTGTTTTTGTTTCCGCTGAACATCAGCTCAAGCCTGTCGTCCGACAGCAGTCGCTCTTTCTACTGGATGACGGATGCGTCACCATCTCCTGTTCTATCTCTATTTCCGCTGAACATCAGCTCAAACCTGTCATCTGACATCCGTCGCTCTTTCTACCAGATCACGGATGCGCCTTCCTTCTCATATTTCTTCTTTCTTTCTTATCCATCGTCCAGCTCATGCCACTCTTTCATATACCCCTTTCACCTTTCTCTTTCCTTCTCATCTATCGTTCAGCCTATGTCACTCCTTCATATACCCTTTTCACCTTTCTCTTTCTTTCTCATCCATCGTCCAGCTCGTGTCGCTCCTTCATATTTCACCTTTCTCTTTCCTTCTCATCCATCGTTCAGCCTATGTCACTCATCATATATTCTTTTCACCTTTCTCTTTCCTTCTCATCTATCGTCCAGCGGATGCCACTCCTTCATATACCCTTTTAACCTTTCTCTTTCCTTCTCCGCTTCATATACCCTCTTCATCTTTCTTTCCCAATTCTCTCTTCATATCTATTGTTCGACCCACGTCACTCCTTCATATACCCTTTTCACCTTTTTCTTGGCCCTCCGACATCTATCAGTTCCTCGATCCTCAAGTTCACCAGCCGCCCTTGCCCTCTACCTCCCCCTTTCGCGCACCACGGTTCACTCGCAGCTCCATACCCAGTCTTTCGACATCTTGCGCTTCTTCTCTGCCCCCGGGGCTTACACCCATTCGTGCGTACTACGGTCTACACGCAACTCCACACCCAGCCTATTCCATGATTACGATCTTTTCTCTGCCCGGACACCGGAAAGGCCTGCACCCATTCGAAGCGCGCACTACGTACACGCAGCTCTACACGCAGCCTATTCCACCCGGTCTATTTTATGGTTCGTCTATGACTCATCTCATCACACCTCTTTATGCATTATGCCTTATGACTTTACGACCTTACGACCTTATGACTTTACGACTTCATGATACCCCCATGCCACTTTTCCTCTAGTTTTTATGCCACACCACTATTTCTTATATGCCTTATGCCTTATGCCTTATGCCCTATGCCCTATGCCTTATGCCTTATGCCCTATGCCACTTTTTCCTTTTGCCATACTATGTACTGTCTTTATACTTCTCGAGTCCAAACGGCATGTTATAAGCTAGACTGTGTTCCGCAGTTAGAAAGACAAAGACTATTGGAATCTGTAGCTTTGACGCGGCACCCTGATGTTAAAGCGCAAATTTAAATTTCAAGTCTTGTTTTCGTTTGCAAGTTAGAAACACGTCTATATGTAGATTGATTGACTCAGCTCAACGAGAGTAAGCGTTTCGTCCTGGGTATACAATCCTGAACAAGAGCAACGTTCCCTGCTACTCATATGCCAACCACCGAAGTTTCATCACTAACAGAAAAACAAGCAAATAGGCCCATCATCACACAGTGCTAAATAGCATGTTAAGGGCAGTGTGCATGATCGTAGGGCATATGCGGATGCATACAAGTATTTTGAGGGATGTATGGGGTCGTAAAGCATAGCGAGTGATATGTAGAAAAAAACCATCCGACCTCTTAGACCTCCTTGACCTTGACGGTACCGCGTAGCAGACCAGTCTACCAAAACCATTCAGCATGCACAAAAATGAAAGCAAGCTACAAAATAGACATACCCGGCGAGCGGCAATAAGACCGACTTTCTGTCCAGGAACTGCAGAGCGAGGAACTGTCGAGGCTTTTCCGATGTGCTGGTGGTTACCACCACCGTGAGGATGGTCGACGGGGTTCATAGCAACACCACGAGTACGAGGCCAGCTGTGAGTTTTTGTGAGTAACCAAATAACACAATTGTCGTTGTTCACCCACCTGTTGCGCTTAGCCTTGTATTTATGATATGCGCGACCAGCCTTAAGCAATGGCTTATCGATACGTCCACCACCAGCAACGATTCCAACAGTGGCCCGTGCACCCCCAGACACAGTCTTCTTTGCACCACTAGGCAGACGAATGCGGGTCTTGTTGTCCTCTGGCGAGTGGCCAATGACAGTTGCGTAGTTGCCAGACGTACGAGCGAGAGCACCACGGTCGCCAACTTTCTCCTCGACGTTGCAGACGATGGTACCTTCTGGGCATTGGCTCACGGGAAGGACGTTACCGACGGTAAGGGCGGCCTTCTTTCCGCAGTACACGAATGAGCCGGTGTGCATGCCTTCCGTGGCAATGAAGGTCTCCTTGCGGAGCTTGTAGCGGTAGGGGTCACGGAATACGACGCGTGCGAGGGGTGCACCACTAGAATGCATGTGAGGGAAATAATGGATTGGAGCGTTTGATCCTTACCGGCCGGGATCGTGAATGATTTCTTTGACAATACCCCGGACGTAGCCATTGCGTTCGGCGAAATCGAGCGTACGAAGCTTGGCGGGGGCCTTGTTGTGGTGGGTGTGTGCTTTGAACTACATTAAATGACAAGGGCGTAAAGATCTGGGTAGGTGAATAAGTAGGGAAACATACGATGGCGTGCGAGCGCCTCTGAGCCCTGATAACCCTACCCATGGTTTATCTGTAAAAAGTGATAAGCTGAGTGTCTGATGCGAGGGTGAGCAGGGTATCCGATGCAAGTGCAAGCCATCCAGCCGTCTCCGCATCGATTTCGACGTAATTTTCGGCCAGAGTGAACGGAACACATATTTGGACTCATGCGTTGCAACCCAGAGGAGTGATTCGTGCGGCATACTCACATTATTGTGTCTTGAGGACTCGGTGTAGGCTGTGGGCGTTGGCGTGTAGTGCACTGAAGCCGTTATCCAATCGGCGCCACAAATACCGGCATTTTCCGGCAGGTGGAAGACAATTAAAGTCGCTAGATCTGCGACCCTCTAGCTACAAATAATCTTCGAGGCTTACCGCTTCCTGCGTCGTGATTAAACATTGAGCGCTGAGCGTCGAACGTTGAGCCGTGAGCGTTTGAGCTTGGTTTGAGCTGTGAAACACTCGCACAAATCAAACAATTGCATTACTAGATCATCAATAGTGACTGTAGAAATTGGGTAGTGGGCGCATTTAGTTTTGCATGGTAAGTATAACTAGCTATAGTCGTCGACATGTATATGACATACGTAATGCTTATCCCATAAAGTTTTACGACTAGTAGAGTGCTCACCGCCTTCATTCTCAAAGTTGGAGTCATGGGCCAAAAGCCTATCGAGTCCTCCAAGATAAATTATGATAGACCGTACTTTTATACCTAGCTATCAAATACAAGCTCCATATATGATATTTTGTGGACATAATAGTGCATAGTTACACAAAAAATTGGGCCATGGACGACTTGCTCCCATGAAGTATCAGAGGGGGTCCATCTCGTGCTGCTCCAATGCCGGTGGCGAAGTCCAACAAACACATTCCTCGAATGTCGTACTGACATGTACACAGTTTTCGTTGGCATGCGTTTCCCAGATGCTGATGATAAGACGTGGCACAATAATACATGGCGCGGTACCGATGAACAACTGTGCGAGATACATCACCGGCGTCTGTGCATGCCTGCATTAGAACAGATTTCTCTAGGATCACAGAAGATCGTACCGGAAGGTCGGCCCACAATATCGCCATGAAGATTTGAGTTGCCAAATTTCTAGCATGACTAAATGAATGTTTCCAGAGAACACACTAAACGAATGGGAACTCACAGGACAAAGTATATGACATGATATCGGACAATCATGACTACATAGGCATTAGGCTTGATTCTAAGTTCATTTCGTTCCTTCAGGTGCTTCCCGAGGACGGCGATGGCGAGGACAAGCAGGAAAGTATCATAGCATATGACGGGGATGGAAGCGTATATCGCAGGCATAGGCCCAATATGGAAGAGACCCGTGCAGTACTTGACGTTTGGAGTTATTATTATTTCTTGCACTATGCACCAAGGATCAGCTTGTAAACAGAATTCGATCAAAGTAGAAATTCACTCGAGATTGCTGAGGGTCGACCCCATAAAAATATATCTACCGCTATATAGATTGCGACGATTGGTACGAACAACCCAAGTAGAACATAAAGTATGGGCTTGGATCGGTTGTATAGGGCGTAAAGACGCAAGATGAGAATCACTGCAAATGAAAAATGGGTATGCGTAGAGATGCGAGAATGTATGTAGATGACTTACGTTCCGCCAAGCAAAAATATACAGAAAAACCCCATTGAAAAAACAGAAGCATTGCGTAACCTATTTCAATTTCGTGATAGGCAAAATTAGCTTCAGTTTAATACGATATACACTCACAACTAAACAAGGAGGTCAGCAGCATATCAGGCCTAGCTGTAAAACGAAATTCTGACGTACGGCTGAATCTGGGTCAACCTAGAACTGTCTAAAGAAACAATCGATACACTCACTGTTTCAGGTATATAAAATAAACCTCCCCCTAGGGCTGGGTCAGATAATGAGGGCTCAGTTGGCGTCACGTCACGTACAGCAGGCGCAAGTCCTAGACATCAGCGTCAACATCCAAAGTACTAGTAGTATCTGAAGGATATAACTGCGGCGACGTACATTGAAACCGAAATACCGAAATATCGAACCTAACAGCAACAAAAATGGGAAACAAGAAGCACTTTGGCATGGTGGAACTCACAGCAAGGTACATATATGTCATTATTGACCACTCTCTTTGCTAGACATCAGTCAGTTCCAGATCTTGATAACGTCGGGGTTGAGCTCTAACCCAAACGAATGTGACCTGCAATAATATTATCATGAGTACTCGACGATGATAAACCGACCTCGTTACCTCTTTCTCGAACTGAAGCACTAGATAATATTATGCTTAGCCGCATTGCAAGGTTCATGGAAGCTACTGACTGTACTCATAAGATACCAGGGTAATGATTGCAACTGGAAAACTGATGAAGTTCAGCACAACGATTTATTTCCAACAATACTGGCAAACCTGATATGTTGTTATTCCAATCAAGAGCATAGAGAGATTCTTCTAGTCCCGACATGAAACCGTGCAGATCAAGTGGGAAATTCAAAAAGTGAGAGATGGGTTGTTGATAACCAACGTACAATACTTATAGGGTACACTGTCGGAATCTCGTTAACTGTAAGGGTTGTGAATGTCCTAAGGATAATTGTGTGACATCACCCGTGTCGAGCTTGCGTCGCCGCACTTCTCCATTTGATGTTATGAATCGCTGTCCTCGACCAACGGAAAGGTCGCGAGTCACATATTGATGATGAAGGGTCACCCTGCGTTACCACTGGCAGTGTTCTTGGGTTAGGTTCTACCTGTCCGATCCTCTTGTTTAGATAGCAAAGGCGGTGCTTATCTCCCTTGACGTGGCTGGAAAACATCTCACCATCATTCATATAACCTTGACAAGCAAGTGAATGATCTAAGATTGGACCTCGAAATAAGTGAATCGTTGCAGGCCCTTAATTAAGGTGTTGTCAAACGTCCGTACGGCAAAGTGATCTTTTGGGTTCGAGGAAGTTTAACAAGCCATTTTGAGAACATAAGCAACTTGACTATTTTCGGACCAGAAATTATGATTTGGCCCTCAAGGTGAGAGTCGCGCAGGGTCCGTGGGAGCGGCAATGGGGAGGGTAGAGTCACGACTCACGACTCACGAACCATGACTCTGTATGATTTGGTCCTCTGGAATGAATCATGCTATGTTGCACTACCAGACAAAGTATGAACATACATAATCGGCCTTGATCTACTTACTCGAAGCAGTAAGTTAGACAACTCTGCAAGGCTGGAGTTTGAATACTTGAAAGCAAGAGACAGTGCAAAAGGAAAATCTCCCCAACCTTACATAAGCTAAACAACCTTAATCGTAACGGTGCTCACGCGCCAAGCCCCCGACTCCTCTCTCGCACGGTCACATTGCACGCTGTCACATCCTGATATCACTGATGTTCTTGTGGTTTGAGATCGAAAATTCAAAACACTAGTTATTTTCTCTAAACTATCTACAGTGATCCCACAGTCCTTTGTACAGGACCGCTCTATTGTACAATTCAATTTCCTCGATGAGTTCCTCATCAACTCCTTGTAAATCTTGTATCATCATGTTCAGAATATATCCTGCTATTTGATAGTACCAAAAAATACAGTACTCAAATTTAGAAAATCATCAGAATCTGCAAAATATCACTCTGGAGCAATATGTTTGAATTTCTCGAGCATCAAAACCTCACCATTGCATATAGTTTCACCCCTTCCAATTCATCTGCAAACAATTAGAAGTAGTGGAGATGATTTTAGTTAAAGTTTCATTGGTGCAACATGTTGTGATCCACGAGTGATGGTCCAATTTTGTCAGCCAGACTAAGCATGGATACGAGGTGTCCTCAGTTTGACTCAGTCTCGCTCGACATCTCCTTTTCACTGCCAGTATTCAATATACCTTCAAATCACACATATAATCTTCCAACATGGTTGGGAGGCCAAAATCATTGACGAAGAAGGCACAGGTCACATGTGAGGAGAAAGACAAAGTCATGGCTCATGCTGTGGCTAAGTACCAAGCTGAACTTGCAAAACCGAGCTCAGAGAAGAAACAAGGCCTTCGGAAAGTGTGCATGGATGTTCAGAAGGAGTACCTCAAGGAGACGGGACGAGTTATCAGTTTAAATCATAATACTTTGGCCAATCTTGCCAAGGGAGGAGTTCGGCTTAGTGAATTCAATAGCTCGATGAAAAGTTGGCTCACACTTGCAGAAACAGACAAAGTTCTCGAATATGTTGTGGAAATGGCTAGACGAGGCTTTCCCCTTAGCCACAAGCGGCTCAAGGAGCATGTTGATGAAGTATGTCAAGCTTGACTTGGAGATTCATTCCCGGAGTCTGGAGTGGGAAAAAACTGGACTCAGTGTTTCGTCAAGAAGCACTCTGACCATCTACGAGCTTACCGAGCACATTCACTTGATGGTGCTCGTGGCTGTGCTGTGAACCCAACAACTAACAAGGCATGGTTCGAAATGTTGAAGGATGTCCTGGAGAGTGGAGATGACGACAAACCTATGGCACCAGAGTGTATTTGGGGTGTTGACAAGACTGGAATTCAACCAGGAGGAGGGAGCTCACAAGAACGAGCACTTGGTGGAGCTGGAACACAGGTTCAATATCAGCAGCGAAATGGAAATCGTGAAAACATTACTGTTTTGGTCACAATCTGCGCAGATGGGAGTACAATTGCACCAGCAGTGATCTTCAAAGGAAAAGCATATCAATCAAAGTGGAACGAAAACAATCCACTCAAAGCATTGTGAGTCCAACTCATGTGTTGTCTCGTACCTTATATAACATTGTTCCTCATAGTATTGGTTATTCGAAGAAGGGCTGGACTGACGGCGAGATTGGTGCACTCTGGATCAAGCAATTTGATGAGCAGACACGCAACAAAGCTAATGGTCATACTTGCCTACTTCTTGTTGATGGGCATAATTCTCACTACACTCGTGCATTCCTGGAGTATGCTCGACAGCACCGAATTCACATCCTCTGCTATCCTGCACACAGTACCCACATCTATTAGGGCCTGGATGTTGCAGTGTTTGGTGTCCTTAAACAGTATTGGTCAGAAGAACGTGACAAATGGGAGCGCGAGAACGGAGAGAAAGTGACAAAGAGCAACTTCCTTGTGATCTATGGTGCTGCCCATGTTCGTGCACTCACACCAGAAACAATTAGATCTGCATTCCTGAAAAACCGGTGTATGGCCTTTCAATCCTAAAGTTGTCACAGACGAAATGTTGGCTCCTGCTCATGAATCATCTAAACAGGGACACCTCCCAATCACTCCCACATCACCAGTTCGAGCCATTTTACAGTTGTTTAAAGACCTGCAACCAAGGGCAGACACTCATAATTGTGGTATGGAACTTGGTACAATTGCTGAAGAAGATGGTAGTAGTAATGACGAGACAACTCCAGGTAATTCTCACTGTTCAAAGATCAGATCAATAACTTATCAATCAGCAGATGAGTGTTACGACAAGCGGTCGTGTGCGACTAGGATGATCTAAACAGCGACAACCACGACAGTGGTACCGAGTGCTGAGAGTCGTCGGCCTTTACAGACAAGCAAAGGTTGCGTACTCGAACGTAGCTCGTGGTGGTTAACGAGGGGTTACGCTGAGATGATAGCAGGGTTTACAGACAGTGAGAGGCGTCACTGAAGGTACGAGTCGATGTCGAGCAGGTGGCTTTAGCGGGACAAGGAGTTCAAGGGTAAACCTAGTAAGATTAAAGTAAGGAACGTCTACTTGTAATCTTCGACCTTATATAAGGCTACTCTATCGTATCTAAGCTCAGCTCGAAGCTGGGTTCTAATCTGCTTATCTACATGAGTCAGAGATAGCGTCCATGAGGCGGGCTTCTATCGTAGATAGCGTCCATGCAGTACGCTTCCATCAGAGATAGGATCCACGTGGTATCCTTCTATCAGTACATGAGGCAACACGAGGCTTGCCTTCTATCTTGATAACATAAATAGGTCTTCTAGACCTATGTCGTCATGTCATGTCACGTGCGGTCCAGACCGCTTATCTAAGCCGGCAGTTGCCGCTTATCATCTCTCATCTAGTGTCGTCTATAGAGGTGGTGAGGCTCCGGTGTCGTCTATCGTCTATAGCCGTGCGGGTGGCAGAGGGCTGTCTGCTGGCGGGGGACTCGTGCCATGTTACTGTAACAATGAGAACACTTACGATAACAATAATCCTTCTCAGATTGATGGTAGAACCATCCACAACATCTTCGCACGACTCGAAGAAACATCTGCACGATTCCTCATATCATCATCTCCCATCAAATCAAGTACAAGGTTGCCTACCATGCCACTAGCAATGATCTCACCCATCAAACACGCACCAAAATCGAGGTTGCACTGCAACATGTCCTTGAAGTCAACAAGGGAGAAAAAGCTCAAAGAGGAAGTGAAAAATCTCACCAAGCAGGTCACAATGCTCAAAGAGCATGTAAGCGCCCTTCAAGCAACTGTAATCCTCCAGGGATGCTACTGTGATCGAGTTCGTAATCATCTCGAGACGCAAGAGAAGAAAGGCTGTAGGGACAGTGACAATATTAAGTTAAACGGAGATGGTATGCCAAGGCTACTTACCAGTGACGAGGTCTTCGAGCAAGTCCTGCAATACCAGGAGCATCAGCAGGCCAAAGCAGCCAAGAAGGAAACAAGGAAAGCAGCACGGGAGGCACGAACATGCGAGATGGAGGTGTGGATGCAAGAGGATGAGGCGAGAAAAAGCCGAAACAAGGCCAAGACTGAGCAGTGGAAGGTTGCTGTCAAAGAGTGGGAGGCCGAGCGAGTGCTTGCAAAGCAAGAGAGACGAAAACTGCAGTGGAAGAAGCCTGTTCATGGACCAATTGAGAAGCCTTGCCCTAAGCCGAAGAATCCAAGGAAAATTGGTGGAAATATTGACGAGGAGGATGGGCAAGATCAAGGAGAGTATATTGACATTCATGAAGGGTCGATTGGCGATGACAGCGAGTGCGAGGATGATGATGAATAGGACAAACGGCGGAATGTGACACGTGTGACATATTGTAACAGGGTTCGTCACACTGCTGTACAAATGAGTCAGGAATGGGAGAAAATGGCTTGCTCAACTGTGCGAAGTGCCGCCAACTGTACAGGGCTAAAAATGCTGTAAAAACTTGGTATAAGGCAGATCAAAACCTATTCTGTCAGAGGTACCAGACCATTTTCTCTATATTGAAGATTTTCTAATTTTACACTCGTTTCTTCATTTTCCTGTCCAAAGGAGCGGTTGATCACTGTACATCTGAAATATCAGTATTTATACTATAGTAGTATGCTAATAAAAGATAGCCGGTCCGTCATGCTAACTAATGTGGTCTATGGTCTGTATTACAAAACATTACATAATCGAGAGGTTCCGGTCTTGCCGGTACTAAGTACATTCATAATCCAACAGTTCTACTCTATAAGTCTCTCTTTTCTACTCTCCAAGTCTCTTTAATTCCAGAAGCTGGAGTCCCTCACACACCTTCTGCATTGTCAATCACCATGTCGCTAGGGATCCGCATGGGTATACCCCAGGGTGTCGGGGACCTGACCCGCACCCGCACCTGCACCCTTCATGTGGGTGCGGGTCTTTGGGGGGTATGGCCAGCTCATACCCGCACCTGCACCGGTGCAGGGTTTACCTGTGGGTAGTACATATAAACATTAAGTTAGAAATATGAAAAAAAAACGATAGTAAAAAGGACTCACTAAGACACTGAACAGCAGGCAATGACTTCAATCAGCATGGCTCGAGCTCGATGGAGGATCGACACGCTGTGAACAGCAGACAATGGCTTTGATCAGCATGGCTCAAGTCAAAGGAGGATCGACACACTCATTCACTGCGAATGGTGTGCAACAACTTGGATCAGTGTGGCTCAAGCTCAAAGGAATTGACAGACTCACTCACTGCGACTCCC